ACAGAAAACAAGATTGTGCAAGAGCGGGGGGTGGGTGGAGGTGGGAAGGAGGCCCGGAGGGTTGGAGGGGAGGTTGCTCTGGAATGAGACTAGCCCCAAAAGGGAGCAGGAAATCACGGAAACAAGAGATAAGAGTCTTTTTTCTTGGGCTGTTTCTAGTCCAAATCCCTGAGGCCTGCGGAGGAAATGGGGAGTTTCTCTGCCCCTCCCCTGTGTAGGAAGGGGGTCTGGGGGGTATCGTGAATTCCGTCCTGGCCTAGGTCTCCTCTCCCTTTCTAACCCTTACCCTTCCTCCTTAGGGCCATTTTGCAACCCCCATCTCTCCCCCACCCCACTCCCCGCCCCTCAAGGGGGGCGTTCTCAGAGGGCAGCCAGACAGGGGCTGGGACCCCCGCCACCAGCAGAATCCTTCTGTTGAATACCCAGTGGGTATATCAAGTACAGGCTTAGGGGACCAGCGAGGCTGGGCAGAAAAAAAAAAAAATTTAAACATCGCTTGATGTTTCATAAAGAGCACCAAGGAACCACATCAGGAAAGTTTAACTCCTGCACCCCTAACATGCACTATGCTGTTCGGTATTGTCCTCCCTTTGAAGGAAGGCGAAAGGCAAGGAGCCGGGGAGGCACAGTTGTTCCGGGTTTGGGGCTTCCGAGAGCCGAGTTGGGCCGCTGGGACCCGGGTGGAGAAGTCGGGCCGACCAGGCACACGCAGCCCCGCCAGGGGGCAAGTGGTCGGCACGATTCCTTCCTGCCGACTGGGAGGGTCGCAGCTCTGCAGGCGGTTGCGGGCGCCGGGTGAAGCCCAGAGGCGACCGCCGGACGGGTGGAGGCGCGGCTTCCGGCGGCAAGGCACCTCCTGCGGGCGACTCCACTCTTGGAGTGCGGGAGGGGAAAGCCCGGCGCTCCGGCCCAAAGCCGGGCTCCAGGGACGGCCACCCCTCTGTGAGGCCGCGAGTGGGCGGGTCCAGCCCAACCCAGCAACCGCCGAGACTTCCGGTTCCGATGACAGAGGCGCCGGAAGCCAGGGCTCCGGCTGTGGGAAGAGGTGAGAACCGGCTGGCTTCTGGGCGGTGAGGTGCGGGCCCAGGACAAGGGGCGCCGGGCCGGCCAACGGGGGCGCGGGGGACGGGAGCTCCGCCGCGCTCCCAGGCTCTGGGCCTTCTCCGCAGCCCCTCAGGCGCCCGCCCCAGCCTGCCTGTGGGCTTGTTTTCTCCCCAGTCGTCGGCCCGGAGCAGCTGGAGTCCCACAGACTCACACGACCCTGGAGGAGCCGCCTCTGCCAGGGGAGTCCCTCGAACTGAGAGGACCCGTTCTAGTGCGACCCGGCCGGGTCTGAGGTAACCCGAGGGGGCCAGACGGGGCTTTCAATCAGGGTCTTCTGAAGGATGAGTAGGAGTGTGCCAGTCATTTGCACGTTAATGCAGGCGAAATTCCTAGTAGGAGTTACAGCTTAGGAGTTGCAAATGGTGGGCTTTGTCCTCCAGTTTTGGCTGATGACGAAAGATTTGAAACTTCAACTAGGGATGTATAATGAAGAGAAGGAACGGGGTGATAAGATAGGGTGTCTGGAGTGGGGGTGGAACAGAAGGGTCAACATTAGATACTGTGATGTAGGAGAGCACCTCTGAAGAGACGATGTTGACATTGGACCCTGACAAGGAGCCAGTCATGGGAAGATTTGGGGGAAGAGTGTATCAGGCAGAGGGAACAGCCAGTCACAGGCCCTGAGACAGAAATAAACTCATTGTAGTCAAGGACAGAAAGGAGGCTGGTATGGTTGGAGTATGGGCAGTGAAGGGGAGAGTGGTAGCTGAGCAAGGAGGGATGGTTGGAAGTCAGCTCACATAGAGCCTCGTGGGCCATAAAAAGGAGGTGGGAGGCACCTGGCTGGCTCAGAGGAGCATGTGACTCTTGATCTCAGGGTGGTGAATTCGAGCTCCGTGTTGGGTGTAGAGATTACTAAAAGAAATAAATAAACTAAAAAAAAGGAGGGGATTTTATTCTGAGTACAGTAGGGATCTGTTGGGTTTTAAGCAGAGGACTGGTGGGCAGGGTGGAGACTGGATAGAAGTGAGGGGTGCAGAAGTGTAAGAGTTGGGTCAATGGAAGCTGTCCAGTCCTAGGCATTTTTTTTTAATGTTTGTTTTTTTTATTTTTGAGAGAGAGAGCGAGTGAGCGGGGGAGGTGCAGAAAGAGGGGGTACAGAGGATCTGAAGCAGGCTCTGCGATGTCAGCACAGAGCGAGATGCGGGGCTTGAACCCACAAACTGTGAGATCATGACCTGAACCAAAGTCAGACGCTCAACCCCAGTGCCCCAAGGCTGTCCAGTTCTGTGTCAAATGGCAAAGGGGACCTTTCTGTGTTTTGCATAAGCTTCCCTTCTTCCCTTTTGCCTCAGAAGGGGGCCCTTCTGTTTCAGGATGCTGAAGATTGACTGGGGACAAAACCCATGCATGCCTTAGTGGGGATTTTAATACTTTATTCATGTGTCTTCCTGTCCACCCCCCTGCAGGTTCAAGCTCAGGTCCCCTAGCCCAACGGTTAGGAGATGGATGCGCCATTTAATCAGCAAGAATTCACTGAACAGCCACTGTGGACCAGGCCCTGGGCTGGGTGCTGAGGGGAGAAAGAGGACAAGATTGGCCTCCAGCCCTGAGCAGCTCACAGTCTAGTAGGAGACCTGTAAAGAGGCAGTTACTGTGCCACAGTGCTGAGGACTCAGAGGAGTGTGGAATGGGTGTCTTCCACAGAGGTTTGCGAACCAGAAGGAGACACCAGGGGGGATTTCGTCGAGGGCCTTGTGGGGAGCTGGTGATTAAACTGCTTCTTGCAGCCTCCATACAGAGGAGTGCACAGGGCACTCTGGACACAGGAGTAGCTTGTGCAAAGGAAGCGAATGTGTAACTACACACGGCTTGTGCGTCAAGCCAGGCAGTGTTGAGTCAAGGGGTGACAGGGTCTGATGTGTTATTTGAAGGGATCGTCCTAGTGGATCGTTTCTGTACATGTGAGACCTTGGGGAGGAGGGCTGGAAATGGACATGAAATTCCACTGGATTCATCATGAAGCTTGTCAAAGACAAACTCACACTCATCCATCCTAGTGCCTGGTGAACATGACCGACTGTGGTTGAGGCAGAGTGGCTCACCGTGGACACACTGAATTAGCCTCCTGGGCTTTTGGGTAGAATACATGCATGCAGTTCTGTTTTCCTGGCTTATTTATTTTATTTTAGATTTTACTGAGTTCATCAGACTCCTCACTTCGTTATACATTTAACTGGTTCAGGCAGGGCCTCTATCTCTTTTGTATTTATTTATGTATTCCCTTTTATCCCCTTTCCTTCCTTCTCCCCCCACCCTCCGCCCACAGGAAACCACCCTGCTATGTTTAGTGTAAATCCTTTTATTTGCCTGTGTCCTTGGTTGTACGCATAGATTTTTAAAAAAAAATTTTTTTAATGTTTATTTGTTTTTGAGAGAGACAGAGACAGAATGTGAGTGGGTTAGGGGCGGAGAGAGAGGGAGACACAATCTGAAGCAGGCTCCAGGCTCTGAGCTGTCAGCACAGAGCCTGACATGGGGCTCGAACTCACAAGCTGTGAGATCATGACCTGAGCCGAAGTCAGACGCTCAATGCTCAACCGACTCCGCCACCCAGGCGTCCCCATAGATTTTTAATTTACATAAATGGTATTCTGCCTAGAGTTCCTTGTTTCTTTTTTCCCCTTCAGGGCTGTGTCTTTGGGATTTTATTGATGATCCTGTGAGTATCTCTGAGGTGGCTTCTAAATGCTAACCAGGTTTCCATAGATGCATCTCCCGTATTTTACTTCCTTGACTTATCAGCGCCTCCCCCCTCCAATGCTTCTCATTGTGGCTCCTAGATTGTCTTCCACTTCCTGCCACAACACACAGTGCTGGGGTGAAAATCCTTGTACCCAACTCCTCCCTCAGCTTTTTGATACAATTTCGAGATGTTGACTTGGGCTTCCCTTAGATAATCCTGGCCTCGGTTGGTGTCCCACAGGGTTAGACTTGTTTGACCTCGGTGAGGTCCTGACCTTTCTTGAGCTATATTTGTTTTTGGTAGATTGTGATCCTAGTTGGTTCCCCAACTCTTGGCAAACATTCTTTTGTGGTGCCATCTTTCCTAGTTGATCATCTCACAGGCTGTGTGGTTGGTTTTCCGTTGCTTGGTGTCATTAATCATTGCTGTGCACTCATTCCAGCCACAGATACTGGCTGCTTTCCTCTCCTGGTGAGATGGCGGCCTGTTTAAGCTGGTTTAAGTGTGATGTGAAGTGCTTCAGAGAAGGGCTCTGGAGCCAGACTGCCTGGCTTCACTTACCAGGTCCTCCCCTTTCTTAGCTTCATGACCTTGGGCAAGTTATTTAATCTTCTGTCATCTGTAAAATGGATCTAATAACTAGACCTACTTCATGGTGTTTTGATAAGAATTAAATCCGGGGCGCCTGGGTGGCTCAATTGCTTAAGTGTCTGACCCTTGATTTTGGCTCAGGTTATGATCTCATGGTTGGTTGTGAGATTGAGCCCTGTGTCGGGTTCTGGCTAACAGTGCAGAGGCTGCTTAGGATTCTCTCTCTCTGCCCCTGCCCCCCCTCAAAATAAATAAATAAACATAAAAAAAAAAAAAAAAACTAAATTAGTTAATGCACGCAAAGTCGTTAGAACAGTGCCTGGCACATGTTAAGCCCCTATGAAACATTATTAGTAGGAGTAATAATAATTATTACTATTTCAGACAGGAGTCCCTGGTATATTTTGCCCATATGGCTCATATTCAGTTGTAGGGTATTTGCCCAGGGGGCGTGAGGAGGGAGGCATGACCTCTGTACATCACAATTATGATTACAAATTCTAGTGTGATGACATCAGCCATAAGGATAGAGGGCAAAACCACATCTCTAGGCCCTGGTTGCCATTTCCCCATCACTCATCCCTTGTCTGCGAAGGAGGGGGCTACAGGCTGGGCCAAGATGATGAGGCCAGGGCTGGCACTGCCGGTGTGAATGGGGAGTCTCGTGAAACCGGGAGCATCCCGACGGTCCCCTCAGCCATGGGATTCTTGTGTGTTACTCTGGACCATTCTTTGAGAGAATGGACAGCTGGCTAGATTTGAACATTCAAGAGAGCCCTTTCCTTTCAAATCCATTGGATGGAACGATAGGGAGGGAACTCTGTCACTGACATTTTGAGGACTATCCATGTGGTCAGCATCAAAAGCTGCTCTGGAATAGAGGGGAGTTGTGGGCCCAGGGTGGAAGGGACTGAGGAAGACACCTTGGTGGTGGTATAAGAAACGTCAGCTTTCTTTTAATGGTATAATGAGAAGGGAGGGAAGAAGATGAGAGATGTTCTAGTCCAATGGGGGAGGCAGGCCCTCAAATACCCAGTTTACTCAAATATCTCACATTATCTGGTGATCCAAACTGAAATTCAAGGGGGCCATGTGGGAGTTGAGGGAGCCGAGCAGCAGTAAGCTAGGGATGGCTGCTGGAGGAGGTGATCTCTGAGCTGCCTCAGAAAGGATGAGCCAGCTTCTCAAGCAGTGACGACTGAGGGCTAATAGCATGCCCGGGAGCAGAAGCAGCACGGAGCCTGGAGGGAGCAAGGGTTCAGGCTGGCTGGACACAGGCTGCCTGTCTGTGGGTGAGCAGCAAGGGCTGCTGAATATGCTTTGCTGAGGCAAAGCCCATCAGGCCCACGTGGTGGACAGTTGTTCTTTAGGCTGCATTTTCAGTTATCAGCCATTCGAGGACTGCCTTTGTGGCTTCTATCACTGCGGTATGTGGAAAACCAAGTCCAGTAGCCAAAGAGAAGGCACTTATGATGAATATATAAAAATACATGAAATATGAAAATAGGCAGCATCTGTATGTATTTCTACTAGATAGTATTGTCTGCTGAAGGCTCTGGGAGTCCTGCTCTTTCTTCTGATTAAAAAGAGATGAACAAAGGGGCACCTGGGTGGCTCAGTCAGTTGAGTGGCTGACTTTGGCTTCAGGCCATGATCTTGCAGTCCGTGGGTTTGAGCCCCACGTCGGGGTCTATGCTGACAGCTCAGAGCCTGGAGCCTGTTGTGGATTCTGTGTGTGTGTGTGTGTGTGTGTGTGTGTGTGTGTGTGTCTCTCAAAAGTAAATAAACATTAAAAAAAAATTTAAAAGAAAAAAGA